CCCGGGTTCTGTCCCTGGTAGGTACCGCATGCCATGCCAGCCCTGCACTGAGCCAGCCACTGGAACTGGGTGTGGTGGCTCATGCCTGTAATCCCAGTGCTGGGAAGGCTGAGATAGGAGAACCACTAGGAGTCTGAGCTGTGTAGCAAGACCCTGTACCAAATAAATAAAGATTAAGAAAAAGTGCCTCATTTCATCTCTATCACAAGCTGGGGGTCTTGCACAGAGAGCCACACTTCACAGATGATGAAAACCAGTTGAGAAACATAAAATAACTTTCTGTTTTCAAGAGGACTTCAAACACATTTTTCTTTCATAGATATGACGCATTGTGTCACTGGTCCACACTCAAAAGTTCTCACAATGAAGGCCATCATGGCTTAGAAAGAGTCAAGAGAAACGGCTTTGTGGTTCCCAAGAGGAACGCTGCAGAAGTCTGATAGCCGGAGAATTAGAGGAAGAGTCAGAAAGTGAGAAAGGCGGCGCCCGTGGAGCGCGTGTCTAGGGCTTATCTGCATGCCTGTTGCCTGCGGCAGTGGTGGGCCTGATTCTGTTCTTGAATGTGCTGTGGTCACCTAACTCTGGCGCTAACTCCTGGTGTCAGATCCGAGACGTGTGCATCGCATCGGAGGACCCTGGGTAAGAAGTGGTGATGCTGTCCACCACTTTCTTGTCCTCATTCATGTGGCATCCAAAATCTGTTTTGTGCTAGCTGCAAAGCCTGGGTGTGGGGCAAAGTTTCATTCTTGTCCCCTGCACCCCTGTGAACTGTCTGTCTGATAGAGGAACTCTGGGTCTTCAGGGAATGCAAGACAGAGAGCCAAGTCACAGCATCACCGGGAGAATGGAGAGAGAGCAGGACGGGAAATGGAGTGTGCTCTGGCTCTACCTGCCTCCGAGTCTTGGCAGGTGGGCGCACCCGCATGCTCACATCCATGAGCCACACGCATGCTACATGCAATACATGGAGCCTGTGAGTGGCCTTTGCTGCCTCTACACGGGTGGATGCTCCCCTTTCCCTCGTGATTTCACAGCTGAAAGTAAAGGTGCCGCGACTAACATGAGCAGCAAGTGTGCATGATTACAGCTCAGCCACAGTCCAGACTCCTGCATGTAGCGATCGCTTGGACCGGCACAACAGCACAGGCTTCCTTCACATGTCTGCACCAATGAGAGAGACGCTAGGAGTTTGGCCCGCTCTGTCTAATTCACAATCTTTGGCAGGCAGGGGAAGAGGGTAATGCTCAGATTTGATTAGTAGCATAAGGCTTAAGAAAGATATCTGTCAAACATTCGTATGTCAGATTACGTTTTTGACAACCTACTTTGAGATTTTTATATGTCCAGAAAAAGTTATTTTTTTTTTAACTTTGAACTAAGACAGATTCCTTGGAAAAAGAGGAATTTTTGTTTGAGCGTCCCCAAGTTATTGCTTCTTCCAAAGCTCCTACTTGAAGGGTCCTCCTAACTCTGTCCTTGGCTCCACCGTCCCTCACTGAGGCACACGTGAACCATGCCAAGAACTTACTGATCAGGGAGAGTTGAATCCACCCACTTCACTGGTGGGGAGGGCAAAGGAAGGACAGGACAGGCTTTCCCCAGTGGAGCAGTTTACTGATTAGAAAGCCTCATGCAAACTCTGTGGAACTCTTATCATTGCCAGGAATGCAGCTACATGGTTCAGCCACAGTAAGATGCTCTCCAACCGGAGCACAAGACAGTCCTTATCCTTATCTCTATTTTATAGGCAAGGGACATAAGGCCCCAGGAAGTCAAGTAACTTCCCAGTCACCCAATTAATAAGTGACAGAGCTGTGTCTGTAACTCCAGGCTGTTAACCTCCACACCCTACTGTTTCAGATTCCAAATGACCTTGTTGTCTGACCCTCTTATTAAACACTCAAGCTGTGCCATGCACTGTGACAACTCTGTGACCATAGGGTCTCCTGATGCAATGAGAGGCCGCACCATATGTTCCAACTGACGAGTTCAGTTGGTCAGCAGGGAGCAGACCAAGAAACAGGCGGGTTGGTCCACCCTGTCTGGGCAGGAGGACAGACCTGAGTGGGAAGACATAGCCGAGCGGTCTGTGCAGGATGGCCCTGTAGAGACGGCATGGACACACAGTCCTCCTCAGGGGGCATCACCATCTTTGTTTGTGTCTGTGTGCATGTGTGCGTGCACCCCACACACATGTCCTCATACACCCCTGTGTATGATGGCTCAGGGCCAACACAGCTGCGCTTCTCCTTCTGGAGATTTCCTTCCTTTCCCTTTCTTCCCACACTCAGAAAGGAACCAAACATCATCAGGGGTGATTTAGGATCTTAGTAATGTAAGCAAAAAGCTGTGACTCCTATGCTTGCATTTATGACCACTTAACCTTTACACCACCCCCTGACCCCTGGCTGACTACAGACCATTTTTCTTGGTATCTAAGGGGAAGGCTTTGCTCTAGAAAGGACAGTTCCAGGCACCGCCTGCTGAAGAAGGCTGAGTGTCCCAGGCAAACGCCAGCACCTCAGGTAGCTGGGCACAAGCCCTGCTCCTCCTTTTGCAGGGTGCCAGCCTCTTGTGAGTACCCAGAGACTGCGCCTGACCCTTTCTTCAAAGAGGTTAAAGTGGGGACCTGCCTTCCACCCATCCATTTCATCTTTGCGCTTGCTCACCAGACCCCTCGGGCCTCTCGTCCCGGCAGAGCAGCCGGTGGGGGCTCCACCGGGCTGGCTGGCTGCCTGTGTCCTCTCCACCTGCCTTGCTGGAGTCACCCTGCCAATTGTGGTCCCCACTTTCCAGCAGTCTGGGCACATTCTCTCCTTCTTTACCCAGGGAGGTGGGAAGCCTATGCTGCTCTATTTTAGTGTAGACTCTGATGGAAAAGTAGGTGATTTCCAGAGTCAATATTTGAGAGCCTTTCCCCCTCCTGAGACGGAAAAGGACAGGGCATTGCTGGTGTCAGGCAGATACACGTCGACATACAGCTCTGGTATCGATGAGCTAATTAGAGAACGTCAGGTGGCTTTGATGTGCCACCACGCAGGTGCCTTCACATGCCTTGTGTCTTGCACTTATCCACCTAACCACACCCAACACACACATACACATGCATGCACGCATGCACACGCATGCGCACATGGAAGGGAAGAACAATGCGGTGGCCTGGGATATGTGTGGTTTGGAGCAGTAAACGAGAAGCCCTCGTGAGTGCTCAGATTCGCCCCCCAGTCCACCCCTGCTTTCCAGGATGCAGTCCACAGGGATGCACCCCCATGGTTTCTCTTTGGGGAAGGAAGGGAACACTCCTTTCCCTCCATGAGGAAACAGCAGTAGCAGGAGGAAAAAGCTGTGCCCCTGGCAGGACAGTCTGCCCTCTTCCTGTCCTCCAGCCAGCAGGCAGCTACATGGTGGAGAGCAGAATCCCCGTAGCCCAGTGTGGCTGCTTGCAGAGGTGGTATGTAGGGCGGAGCAAGAAGCCGGCCACAGAAGTCCTACTGGGGAACCTGGGGGACCTAGCACAAAGAGAAGAGATGTACAAGGGGCAATCAAATGGACAGAAAGGTCCAACTTTTTAAAAAAATTACAGCAAAAGACACATTGATACTAGTTCTCCTTAAAATCCACCCCCCCTTTACTTTGAACACACTCATTGCCTTGTTCTTGCCACTTCCTGATGCAGTTCTAGAAGTTGTATTTCGTGAGTGCCTTTATAAGGTGTGATAAAAAATGCAGTGAGGGACGAGCCAGATAGCTGAGTGGATTATAGCACCTGCTTAGGCAGATAGGAGGACCAGGGTTCAATCTCCAGCCTGCCATGCTAGCCCTTCCCCTGGGACACACTGAGACCACAATTGATACTAGGCACGGTAGCACACGCCTGCAATTCCGGCGCTTGGGAGGCTGAAAACAGGAGAATCACCCCGAGTCTGATCTACGTAGTGAAACTCTGTAGACCCTGCACTGAATACATTTTTATAAATGCAGTGAATGCTGCTACTGAGTGCCATCCAGTGGGAAAGCGGGTTTCTAAACACATGGCACTGTGTCCCCCTCTATCTGTGCCACTCCCTCTGGCACCATGCCACCGCTGGCTCTTCCCCAAAGTCACGACGACCATGAAAGATAAACATTTAAAGTCAATTCAGGACACTGAGGCAGCTAGCGTAGCACAGCTAGACACTGACAGAGGACTTCTAGAGCTGCTTCAGAAAGTGGCAAGGAGGGTGGGAAAGAGTATTCAAAGGGAAGAGGAGGACTTTGATGGGGATTGATGCGGTGCTTCTTTTACTCTAACCCAAATTTTACAATTCAATCATTCATCATATTTTTTGATTGCATCTTATCCATGAAATTTATTTGTCATGATAACGATGTTTTCCTCTAGATATGAAATGATCATATAACCCCTATTGTTGACTCGCACCTCCTGGATGTGCTCTTCGCCCCAGCCCCTCAGGTTGGCCCTGACATGAGTGCCAGGAGAAAAGCTCTGATGGGCCTAGGCTGAGTTGGCGGTGAGCTTGCACCTTCCCCGGAAGCCCATGCATCCCGAAGCCAGGATGAGGTCCTGACCCCTGACCCCCTCCAGCCACTGGTGCGATTAGTGATGCAGCCACAGGGTGTTTAAAGTCAGGAGTCCATTTTGCGTAACCAGTGGCCTTAATCCTCTGTCAGCACCAAAGTCCTGCATAAAAGGCTGAGAGGAGACATTATGGAACAATATGGAGACAGCCTGTGCTGTAGCAGGTGGCCTAGAGTAAGTGGTAAGTTCCCTCCCTTGTGCGGGCCATCTCTGGGGTCATCTAGGTTGCTTCCCCCCAAGGCATAGAGGGTAAAAAAAAACAAAAAAACAAAACACTTTCTCTGAATGGTTCTCTAGTCGTTCGGCAACAACAACAGAAGAATCCTTCAGAGTGCATGTACACACACATGCTCACACACAGAAGATAAATGTGGCTCACCAGTAGCCAGTACCCAGAAGTACACGTGGTGCACACACTTACTGCTGATCCTGTGATTCTGCGGGCTGGAAAGCTTGAAAGGTAAAAGCTTGCAGGGAGGAAGGAGAGGCAGGAGAGAGGCCACGAAGGAAGAAGGCTGTGCGGGAGTGTCGCTGCCTGGGGACTTCAGTCTCAGCGTGGGCGGAAGCCTGGCAAGCGGGTGGCCATGTGCTAGGCGACCCGACCTGTGGGAGGCGGCACCAGGGAAGGGGCCAGGATCAGACAGCAGTGCAAATCAAAGGCAGCTGGAGAGCGTGAGACAGGAGCCCCGCCCTCGTCTCCCGTCTCCCCTGGGCCAGGCCTCTGTGACAGTGCTGCCCAGATCCAAAGCACAGTGCAGCTTGGGCCCCCAGGGAAGAAATTTCCCACACCAGAACCTACATGTACACACAGTAACTGATTTTCCCCTATTGCATCAGTATTCCCAGCATCCCAGGCTGTCAAATCCCAGAGAGACACATGTCACGTTTGTTTTGTCTTTTCCTAGATCTATCGAGTAACCTGCCTCCGTGTTAGATTTCAGAGTCGTTTGGTGACTGTGGTGGCACCAGAGAAACTTTTGCTAAATTTAGCCTGCTTGCTAATTAGGAACAGAGGACATGTTACGCTTGAGGCTTAAATACAGAGCTTGGCAGGAGACCAAAATATGAAATCAAATTCTCACTTTAGACCAGGGCAAATCCAAGCTGAATGACCTGGGGGCTGACCTAGTATGCTGTCATTTGAATCTTCCAGGTCTAAACTGTGTGGGAATTTATACACACTCATGAATGCTAGTGTGTGCATGCACACACACACACACACACACACACACACCAGCTATCCTAGTTCAGCATCCCCCACTGCCTACATCAGCAGAAAAGGCAAGTGCAGTCAGGGACAGAAGCAGGGACAGAGAATGGGGATCTATGTTGAATTTATCCTGGAAGCTATTATTGTGTGGAGTGCAGCACATAATGACATGCCATACTCATTGAGAAGAGCCATTGACCACATTCTTAGTGACATTACCGCGAAAGTGACATTGTTCCTGTGGCCATATTTGTATTGCTTTAGATACAGATGGGGACCAGGAGCACAGTTGCTACCCTCATTCAGTGACGCGAGCATAAAGTGGATCTTTGGAGCCAGGCTTCAGGCACCTACACAGCTGTGTCAAATGTGACAGTACTGCTGACATTTGAAGAAAAAGAAAAGAAAGCAGCACCCAGGACACTTGTCATTCCAAGGCATCCACTGTTTGACCACAGTGAACAGCAGAGTGCTGGTCTCATCTCTTGGAGCTCTGGCCCTCTCCTAAGGGCGTCCGGGCCCGTGGAGCTCCAGGCCGCTTGCCTTTGTCCCTGCCATCCACTGGCCCATCCTGGAGGTGGGGAAGCTCATCAGGGAGCTCAGAGAGAGCAGAGATGGAAAGAGGAGGTGGTAGAGCAGAAGACCAGGGAGAAGGAAGGGCTCAGAGCTGCTTTCAAGGGTGACAGCCCTTCAGGCTCACCTTCTAGTTCTCAGTGGAGAATAGATGCTGCCTGAGCCCACGGCCAACTCTGGCCTTGCCTGCAGAATTTCCATTCCAACAGGGTTTCCATGGGACAGGGCTGGAGCTAGGGAAAGACAGAGCACAGGGACCGGGACTGCCTCTCATGTTCTTCAAAGGCATGCCTACGGAGGAGTATTTATCATAGAGGAAGAAAACAGTAATGGCCCAGAACTGTCTGTTTGTTCAACTCCAACTTGAATGATACCAAAGATTAAATTTTGGTTTCCAATTGTTTCATGCCAAGGCTGTTATATTTAAGGTCCAAATATGTGCACCATATGTCATGCTGTAGCTTGACAATTACCTCAACAGGCAGTGTCAGACAGATGGTAAACATTACTACCAGGCATACGTACATTTAGAATTAGACATTTAAATAAATTCAGGCCTGTCTCGAGCTTATTAAAAGGATTTGGGTCTGTAAAGCCTTTCCGGGCATCTGCATATGCTGAAGTGTCTTTTGTATCTGATCAGATTCGGTTTGCTTCAAGCACCTTGTGGCTGCACATGGTGAGTGACGTGCATTCACTTCGAGCGCCATACCTGCAATTAGGCCGGTGATGGCAATTAAGATGAATGTGAAGAGACTGAAGCTGCAGATCTTAGTACCGTGATCATGTATTCTGGCCCATGAGCTTCTCCACGGGGAGCACCACCAGCCTCTCCTGCAAGCCCCCTGAATTTCAGATAAAGAGATTAGAAGCCTATGAAGGCACCTGCCTCGGGTCCAAGTCGGAATCTCTCTGGTCTAAACCTCGGGCTACAGCAGACGTTTGACATGAATCTCACAAACTGCAAATAAAGGTTAGCATTCCATGGGAGAACTGAGAGGCGGCTTCAGATGAATGTGATTTTTTTTTGGCCCCAAACTCTATAAAAGCCCTTTTCACACCATCTTCTTCCTGGGGTCTCCACTCTTGTTTGAATTTCTAAAGAGGTGCAGTGTGGTTTGCGATAGGAAATCAAATGAGGCCGGGGACTGGGTCCTGAAGTTTGATCAAGCTGCAAGTGCAGGCAAAGCTGCAGTCCAGGAGGGCAGCCCGCGGAGAGGTCCGATCTTCATGCGCCCTTCTGTGCTGTGCAGGTGTGCAGTCCCTGCCACAGTCATTCTGCCTTTGTGGCTCCCTGCTCCATTTCCAAAGGCATCTTCCATCTCTGTGTGCAGCGCTTGACGCAACTCAATAGTTCAGACACTGGGCAGGAAGGAGCCATGGAGCAAGACTGCCTTCCAGGCTCAGCGTCCAGGCCCACCGAAGGTCACTCGGCCAGTGACCCTATGTATGACAATTCTCGGTCTTCTGGCTCCGGCCTCTCTTGCTGTGTGACTTGTTCACGTTTTTTTTTTCACTTCCTCATATCTCAGTTTTCTCATTTGCCAAACAGAAATGAGATTCGTTCCTTGAGGACTGGCTATCATATTTGCTGTATTTAGAACCGTGCCTGTTAGTGTCTGGTGCTCTATGTTTGCTATAATTTTGTTTTGGGAGACAAAGTTTTTTTTTTTCTTTCAAATAGGGGCTGGTGACCTGATTTGATACCGATTTCCTTGTCTTCAGCCCCTCCTCATAGAGCAGATTTCCATGCTGGGCAGCTCCGGCCTGGAGCTGAGAACACTGCCTTGAGTCCTGGCCTTGGTGTGAAGCCCAGCACCCCAGGCTGTGTGCTTACAGGAGGAGGTGCGGGCTGAACTGCTCCAGCCGAGTGCCACGCCCATGCCGCGCCCATGTGAGGTGACACCCCAGGACACAGCGCCCTGCCCTTTGCCCCGACGACCCGGCTGCACTCCAGGTACATGGAGAGTGGCTTTGGAGGAACGTGTCTCTGCTCTGTTTCTGTTTCTCTTAGTAAAGACAGCTCGGTCTCGTGGCTTCATTGCCAAACCCCACTCTCACATCCGTGTATAGATTTCCCTGTATCTCTGTGGCCCAGTCAGGAGCCCTGGTTTCTGGGCATGGCTTGGAGACCCCCAGACTCACAGCCCTGTTTTCTGTGTCATGCCACACATAGCCACTTCCTGTCCCCTAGCATGGTGGCACTTCTTTCTCTCCTCACCTTGGCTCCTGCTGTCTGCTGGGCAGTATCACCCTCCCTGCCTTGAAAATAAGGCGATAGAAATAGTTGTTGAGAAGTTGTTCCCTATCTCAGATCTATTTGCCCCTTAGCCGAGTGGTTCTCCAAGTATTGATCCAGGTCTAGTATTTGATCACCAGGGAACTAGAGAGAAAAAAAGGTTGAGACATAGCAAAGTTGGAAACGAAATTTTGCCGGGTATGGGTGAGCCCAGCGCATGCCATACGTTGAGACCTGTCTGAGCTTATTATTTAGAATATATTGCTTTCCTCCCCGAAAGCCAAGGAGTTTTGTTCAGCGTTTATGCCCTTAGTAATAGCACAAACATTCTTCTGTTTCTTTTCCCTTTATAAAGATCTTTCAGACAGAGAGTTAAGAGTCCACTTTTGCATTGCCCAAGCTGGAAATAGTGAAGTCTCAGAAGTCCATGAAATTAACTCCATCCCATCAGTGTGTGCCGAGCAGTGATGACGTCTGGCCTGTCTTCCGCCCTGGCCAGGCCAAGGCAGAGCTAAGAGAAGGCCGTCATGTCATCGCAGCCTGGCAGGGTGTGCGATCTAGCTGCAGGGTCAAGAGCAGCAGGGAAGTGGTGATCGCTCGAAGTAAAATGGCCTGGATGTAGAGTCCAGCACGCACATTCTGGGTACCAGGCATGTGTCACAAAGGAAGGGGACAAAGAGGCAGTTATGAGTCACCACGGTTAGGTGCTGCAGGGGCTGCTTCTGGGGACCCGGGATCTTAAGGAAGACTACAGGGCAGGGTACGCCAGTGGCCCTAAAAGAATGAGATGCGTCCCCACATCACGCCTCCTCCAGCACTGCCGCTGTCCAGCACTTGGTTCTCAGAGGGCTGAGTAAGAGCCATAAATACTTAGTCATTATGACTCAGATCAGTGTGGTACTAGCACCTGCTAGAATTACCCAGGTTCATTATAATCTAATTTCTGAGAGGAAAATCAGGGTGTGTCGTAGGTGTCCACAGTCTCTGTTGCCTGAAAACGCCAGCACCCCACGCATCCGGTGGGCCGCTGCCCCTCCAGCCCACCTCCTGCATTGTACTGGCTGTTGGTGGGGCTCTGGCTGTGTGAACCAGTGTCGCTGCCCTTCAGAGCTGTTTGGGTGCCTGTAGAGGGTGCAGGCTGTAGAACTAGAAAGTACGTTAGGAATCCGCTAACCCAATCCGATCACCTGTTCAGTTAGGACAGACACCCCCCAGTGCAGCATGCCTGGCCAAGACTGCACGGGCTGAGTGGGCCCACTCCTGCTGCCTCTGGACCTGTTTCCACTCCCTCACCCTGCCACATATCCTGGGGTGCACCTCTGCCTCCCCTGAAGCCTCTCCCTCTTCCTTCCCCCTATGTCTGGTCCTTAGGAAACTTAAATTATGATTCACAACATCAATGATGCTGACGTGTTAGGATGAACACAGAATGGGCCACAATTCAAATGTGGGGGCAGGGTAGACAGGGAAAGAGGGCGGGGGCCCCGTGCAATTAGTCCTGGGGCTTAGCTTGGGCAGCGGGGCAGACAGGACTGAGAGCAAGCTGCTTTCTGGCAGCT